ACCTTGCAGAGGAGCTGCAGAGTCGGCTTGGATTCCCTGCGGAGAGCAAAGCTGGGCAGTCACTGCTGCTGCAGCAGGCAGGGCTGGGGGGAAGCACTGGCGCCCACCGCGGCCTGTCCAGAAGGGAGGTGTTCCAGGGCTGCCCTGTGGTACAAGGCCTGGACCACAGTGGTCTCTGTGTGGGATGGCAGTAGAGGCCATTGAAGGTGTGCACAAAATCTGCCTAGAGCCCATGGCTGTTTACAAAAGCATGATTTCAAAGAATGTATATTCAGTTCAAGTAAAACATCCAATATGTGTGAAATTGCAAAGGAAAGAAGAAGATAGAAAGCCCCTACATGAACGGGGGGGAAAAAAAGGAAGAACAAAGAGGAACCTTTCCAGTCTCCCTCTCCACCAGGTGAGGACTCTGTGTGTGATGGATTAACACCATCATTTAAACACCGGCACTTCCTCCTCCCCCATGCTGGGATGGACGGCTGCTTTTTGATGCGACTCCCGCAGCATTTACAAATGTGGACACAGCAATCGTGTAAAGTAGTATCTTTCGCTATGTTGTTGGGTTTAATGAACTGAGATGTTAAGGAGCTGTGCACATCAGTGTGTTTTCTGCTTCCACCTTCCCACTCAACAGCATGATTGACACTGCAGCACAAAGACAGAGTAAACTCGGGTGGCAGAACTCAGAGAAATAATTTATTGTATAGAAACATTCGCTTTTCATTTGAGATTTTAGAACAGCACAAAACAAAAGGAAGGAAGGAGAAACACAGCTCAAGACAGTCTCCCCGTCAGAAACGGAACCACCAACACCAGGGTTTTCGCGCCCGCTGCTCCGGCACCCTCTGGGCTGCTGCAATGGAGACGGCCACGATTTAACAGTCCGGTTTTCCCAGGGAGGCCGCTGCACTGTGGGCAGCCCCTTTGCCTCAGTGGCATTTAGTGTCTCTGCTGGGGGTGGGGGAAGAAAGACCCCGAAGGGTCCAAATCCTGGAGCCATCTGGGCTCTCCTTTCCAGGGAGAGGCTGCCCCATCGCGCTGCCCCCAGGCCAACACAGAGGCCCCACTGAGGGACCGCGGAGGGCGACAGCTCCGTGCGCTGCCCACAGTCGAGGGGCGAGTTTCTGCTCGGGGGTCTCGGGCGGGAGGAGGGAGGGCTGGAAAAGCAGCTTACGAATTCCGGGAACGCTCTGCCTTCCTCACCAAAGGAAAAATCAGACCGCTTGGTCAAATGTGCTTCAAATGTTCGGTGACATTTCGCTAAATGTTTGTGAGCAATATAATTTGTATATTCCAGAAATAACTTTTCCATGCACAGAATTTTTCCCGGATCAGGAGAGAGAGGAAGTTATACCTAGTTTGAATGTTCTGCATCGGATAGAGCTGCAGATCTGTTAGCAGATGCTTGGCATCCGTCAGTGTGGTTCTCATGTAGCAGCCATGAAGGTGATAAGGGAGGAGAGGACCAACAGAAATTGCCACATTTTAGTGCAGCTAAACTGTCAGCCTTACAGAGCTATTTCCAATCTCTGACTGCACAGCACAGTGTACGGCTTAACAGCAGCTGTTGTATATATTCACCTTCTAACCCCTTCTTGCTTTTCACGTGGATAAGAGCTGCTCCATTGCCATTGGGAGTTTTTCCTGGATTACATAGAGAATTACAGGGGCCCTTCAGTTCCGACGTGGCTGTGTTTCAGGAGCACCTACTGTACCCGTCACGGATAATGCAACGCTGCGACCTCTCACACCTGTAGGAACGCATGGCGCGTAGTCTGAGGCTTCCCAAGATTACGTGGGAACTGAGCATCACATTCCCAGCAGTAAAAGATGACCGTGCTGAAATCCATGAGGGCTCCTGCTTGGTTGCATGTATGTGTGTGCATGCCCTTGTGCACTGCTGTGGTACATATTAGTAAAGGGAGGAGCGTGCCTTTTGTTAAAACAATTTTACATACAGAAAAGGTTACAAAAGCCACAGCATTTATGTTTTCATATTCACATTTGACCTTTTTTTTTGTCAAAAGAAGCATGGGTTTAATGTATTCAGTTTTCACAATATAGAATACTGCATTCAGTTTTCTCCATTGAGTTAAACAAATTCTTCGCTTCATATCTCAGTTAAATGTTTAAGACTTTTATCATCATTCATTGTGTGTATTACAATAGCAGCCAGAAACCTCCAAATTAGTGCTTGGTGCATAAGGCCCTGTTAGAACCAGGTGTTAAAAACGGCTCCTGCTCCAAAATGGTGGCAAATGAAAGCACAAGGATACCAAAATCCCCGTGGGGTCGTGTCTAAGCAGCCAAGTAGAGGGCCAGGGCACATGCAGTGTAGTGGCACGTTTCCTCACTTCCATGTGGAAACAGCAAGAAGAAAACGGATCAGAACTGTTGACGCGTCCCATTTCCCTGTCAGCAGCAGCTGCGGTCAGCATGGCTGTTTTCATGCTTGCTGAGCATCCCCATTTCCAGTCTTGCTTGCTAGGACCCTGTGTTTCAGCAAGCAAAAACGCGCCCTCACTGAGATCAATAGTAAGTTTCCCACTCTCTCCCACTAAATTAAATTTTTGAGCCTGTTCTCTATCTATCTGCTTTCTTTTCCAGTGGTTGTGCATGCAAAGCACAAAAAGAAGCTGGAAGAGAGAGAACAGGAAGGAGAGAGCAGTGCGAGTAGCTAGTTTACCTGGAGTTGAGGGGGATAAATCAGTCCATCCTGCCCTATAAATGGAGATGATTGAGTGGTGTCCTGGGTAAGTGGTTTTCAGGAAAATAGGACTGAAAAAAAAGAGACAAAGTGGAAAATGTCCGCATTGCTTGCATGAACCCCACGTGTGTTTCTGTTGGTTTTTCCACGTGGTACCTGTGCAAGGAGATGAAGATCTAGGCCTAAAGGGTCTACGGATCCTTGTTAATGGATCCAGCAGGAAGGGCCAAACACCACCACAGGTAACGACAGCCTCCGTTACACAGCTTCAAGAGAGAAGAAGTTACCACAGCTTGGGCTTGGACCCACGACCCACCTGGCTGAGTCTAGGCTAGCCTAGGCTGGCTTAGATTTTTTCAAGGCCACGGAGAGATGTTCACAGCCCCTAAAGCAGCCTGTGGGACTGGGCATGATCTGGGAGATGCTGACAGGTCTGGAAAACACAGACAAAAACTACACTCCCTCTCTGCATCTGAACAGCTCTTGATGATAACTCTGTCAGCTGCCAATACTTCTCAGAGACTTCTGAAGTAGGTGATCCACAGGGGCAGTGATCTGATGTTTTGCAAAATGTCATCAAGGAGCCTCTACCAGAATGGACCTGGGGAGACCCCCCTCCCCCAGCCCCCAAGAGTCATTCTTGAATGCCTGGGCTGAACTTTAAATCCCAGATAAATAAATAATGCAGAATTATTCTCCAAAAAGTTTTGGTTTTCAGTTGTGAATGAGAAGTTCTGTGTGACACGGTGGTCAGTTTGTTAGCTTTATAGATGGTCTTCATCCTCTCTGCAAAGAGAACAGCTATTCAGTGAACCCCTTTTCTTTAAAACCCTCCTGAAAAGGAACTGTCTCTAGACAGATCTAAAAGTCTTTTCAGTCAAGGCAGATGAGACCGCATTAGATGAAAGATTCCTTAGCTGTCTAGTAGGAAACATAGGACAGAACTTTCCAGAGGCCCAGACTGAAGACAGCCTTCAGGATGAAGATGCCCTAGTGTGAGCAGCACTCATATGTGCAGGAGAATGTCAGAAAACTACTCCTTGTGAGGAGAACACTAGAAACGTCATCTTTGGATGTTGGGAGTTCCCCGAGTCTTGGAGTCCTTTACCGTTCTCACAGTGGCTGGTGGTTGGACTCTGGTTTCAGCCCAGACAGGCTGAGCTCTGGGTCTGTTTCCACAGTGCCTAAAAAAATCTGTGCTTGCTCATGAAAATACCACTAGGAATGACAAAACTGTTTGGGCAGATGAGGGGATGCATGTTCGACTCTCACCGAATTGCCTGTCTTCAGACACTCTCTCTCCCATCACTCAGGAAACATCTACAACTGATTATCTTGGATCCCTTCCCTACCTGTCAGTAGCTTGTGCCTTAAAATTCCATGATTTTTTTTATGCAACAGGGTGCCAGGCAAAGTCTACTCTCATCTTCAACTTCAGGGGGCTCAATTTCTTTGTGGAGCAATACAATAATGCAGAAGTGAGTTAGGGTCTGAAACTGTAACTGTTCTTTGCTAAGAGTTTGTTTTGCCTGCTGCCGTGTGCCCTGGGAAGCACTGTGACTGCGCGTACCTACACGTCAAGGACAGCCTGACCCGGACCTTGACTTTTGTACCGGCTTAAGGCTGGAGCGTCTGCTCTCCTGCAGGGCGGCAGCCACCTGGACCCCAAGAGGAGGTGACAGCCACCAGGGCACTCACCTCCAAAGCAAATGTGGCCATCACATCCTTCACTCCCCATCCCGAGGTACCAAGGAAGCCCAAGGCCCAGCCAAAGGGTCCAGTTTAAACAGTTCCAAAATTTCCATCTCAGAAGAGAAATCTGAGGCAGTGCCGAGGGGCCGCTCTCACTTATGCCACTGCACAGTGTTACTCACGTTCCGGGAACAGCCCGTACGCCCCGCCATTAATGCTGTCCTGCTCAGAAGTCCCCAGCCCAGAGGATTGCCTACGCTGTCCTTGGCCACGTGGCGGCCCCAGCACGGAAGCCCCCCAGCCACCAAGGAGAGAGGCACCAAGCGCTCCCGCCCCGCGGCCCGCAGCGCTCCAGGCTCCCTGCTCGTGTCTGTGCCCGGCAGCAGGAGCACCAGCGGCACCTGCGCCACAACGGTCCTTTCCAGCCGGGAGATTTCCCTGGAGACGCCAAAGGCAGCAACAGTCGCTGATCAAGTGAATCTGCCGCAGGCACCCGCGTGTTGGGGAACCGGCCGGCCCGGCCGCGCCCGCCACCACAGCGCCCGGTGGGCCGCCCGTCGCCGCGTCCTCGCTGCCCCGCGCGGAGCGACGCTGCTCCGCATCAGTTGAGCACCTTCTCGGAGAAGTGGCCCAGCCTGCCCTCCTCCTGCACGGGGCTGCCCACGCTCTCGTCGCTCGCTCCAGCGGCCGTCGCCCCCTCCTGGGAGTTCTGACTAACATAGACCACTATGATGTCTCCCTTGAAGTTCATTACTTGTCCACTTGAAATAAATGTGGAGTTACTGTTTCCAGTCACATTTCCTGGGGAAGGGGACCGGGGAGGAGGAAAGAAGGTGCAAGTGATTAATTTTTTCTCCCACGAGATGAACGTTGAGCATAGTGAATTTAATCCAGCCCGATATCTTTACTTTTGTTCCGTTATTTTTGATGCGTGACATAGGGACACTCTTAAAATCAATGCCTTCCGCGGGAAGCTCTCATTATTTCCACTGTGCCCTCCTGAGGACTAAGACTATCATCTGTGGGGAATCTGCCTGGAATATTAACAAAAGAAGTTCCCTCTCTAAATTAGTTAGTTGGTTAAGAAATGGTTATTATTTCCATTTTTTTATATATACATATGTTTTTTACAGTCCCAGATACCATATTCTTTCCCCCTCATCCCCCGGTAAACAATTGACCCTATCATGGGGAATAGATAGCAAGTTTATTGATTAAATATCGGAAGATTTAAAATATTAATGTCAGGCCATACTGTGACAGCGTTTGAATAACACGGAGCTTAAAATATTATCTGACCTTGCCCTGATCTCCCAATTAGATAAATTCCAATACTCACCTCATGGATTTATCTGGATTTATGTTGACTGCAGTGAAGAAAGAAAGTCTCTGCTGTAGTGACCTAACTGAGTTACAACCCCCACCTCTCTCAGAGTATCTGCTGGCCTTTAGAGAATTTGCACTGTATATTAGGATTGAGTCACTGAATTTAGTGACGGCAGGATCAGGCTCTGGGGGGTTATAAACTTCCTTTACAGTGGAAAGAAAACACCTGGGAAGCACAAACCTTCCTCAAGTTAAAAGAAACTAACCAAAGCAGACAAGATGCAACCAAACCAAAGATTTAGCTCCGTGTTCCTAGCCATTCCTCAGAAGTGTTTTTCCTCCTGTGTTCCACATGACTTGTGGATTCATCTTAAACATTTCAGAAGTTCTGTGCCTTTTCTTGACACTTTCCTCACCACTGAAGACATGGGCATTTTCACTGCAGCTAAGCATGACCCTGCCCCATGATGTTTATGGACCGCGACTGGATTCCAGTATTGCCAAGTACTGCTAAGTCCATAATTTGGTCTTGGTAAGACTTAGGCATCTCTCTGATAGGCTCCCTCAAGCAACTCTATTCATTTTAGTAAATAAATGAGGTATGAGTAAGTGTTCTCTGCAGGATTTTTGTCTTGCCAGCTGTTTGCCCTGTGTTCAACTCAGTTGTTTGCTACCAACACGACTCTGTTACAGGGTTTCAAATAACTCTTTGCCTTTATGCAGATTGCTTGCCACTCACAAAATATATTGCAAAACTTTAACCGTGTTCGGTAGGAGATCAGGAATTTAGAAATCTACATGACAACGGAGGAAGAAAGGGAGTTAACACATTTACAATGCTCAGCTGAACGTGGTCTGTAATTCTACATTGCTAGATGAAAACACCATGCTGAAAGAGAATAATACTGGAAGCACGAAAGCACAGAAAAATGGCATGAGAGCTTCCTGGGTAGCACTCAGAGATGTGCTTCCAATCCAAAAATATAAGGAGCATCTTCAGAGGATAAGTGCAAGGAAGGCATCCTGCGCTGCGATATTTCAGCCATTTTTTTGGGGTATTTGATCTCTTCAGACCACCTGCTGGTATCAGTTATAACGATAGACTAATTTCTGTGGCAATTGCTCACTAAGGACTGGAACAGCGCAGATGAGGATTAATTTTGTGGAGTCCTCTAACAGCATTTGAGTCAACAGAGCTGCTGCACCGAGCTGCTTTGGGATTCTGAGGTGAAAGGCTCTGTAAAACCATCCAGTGCCAGATACGACTTGACTTCTAGTTGGACCTCAGGGTCATCTTCCATGAAAGACTATGTTATTTTTACTATAACTGTTGAATTTTTATCAGACAGTACATCTGTTTCAAGATTTCAGAAAACCGAGGCAATAGAAAGAATAGCAGCTCTTAGAAAGATTAATACCACAGCACTTTCAGATTCCTGCTTGACATGTATGTTTAGAAGGGAAAGGCCCATGTCACTTTTGGGCTTTGGCAAATCAACAAGACATGAAAACCTTTAAGGCACGATACAGTTTTAAACAAGGGCAGCTGCTTAGGACTGCTGTGTGTATTACGGTAAGACTTAGATATCCCAAGCGAAACTTAGGTCCCATTTTGCTTGTCACTGCACAGACACAAATCAAAACAGTCTCTCTCTTTAAGAGATTATGATCTAAAATGACTAATAACACATGACAAGCAGATTGCAGACGTCTATGCTGAAGAAAAGTCTGCGGGAAGAAGGTTTCATTCAGAAAGTGTGCATAGTTTCCCTTCTGCTGGTTTTGCTGCAGTGATTATTTTTCTGATTTCTTTCGACTATTTAAGCACATTTACCCCATAACTGTGCTTCAGAACTGTTGAGGGGAGAGGGCCTTTGTGTGTGGAGAAGCAATTTCTGTGTGAGATTACTTTGAGTTGAATGCTGGTATAATAACAAATGAAAACAATGAGAAAGTGCTAAAAACAGATAATTGGGTGCATTGTCTTAGACCAACCATGGCCAAACTAGACCATGACTGACCACTGTATGATTCTACCTGGACTTGCACCTAGAAATGAGGACAGAACAGCACAAGCGGCGTGTTGAATGGAAGAACGCCCATCTGAAAGCTGAGCACTCCTTCTCAACTTAGCCTGTAGACCAGTGTCCCCTTCTCCCAACTCCTCTCTAAATCACACCAACTGTTGCCATGAAAACATCCACTAACTATTGCCTGGCCACTGCAGTGATGGCTGGAAGATGGATTTTGCACTACTGGCTAGATCATGACAGGATGATGATCCCTCATGGTGCTCGCACTGCAGAATTGCAGAACAAATGCCCCTGCTATTTCGTCCTCATCTTTCAAGTTAAGTTTCAAGGGATCGTTTTATTCTTAACTCCCTCTTCTAAAACAGACTCTCTGAGTAATACTGACCTAGTACAGAGAATAATCCTATGACAGTATGTAGGTCAAGCCTACTGGGCTTACCAGATGCCGGTGGAAGGTCTGAGGTGCTGCTGCTTGTCCCTGAAGTGCTTCTTGTGCTCTGGGACTTGGTGTCGGTGCCTTCCGAAGACGCATCTTCCACACCACGGTCGCTTGCCGGAGTGCTCTGAGCAGCAGAGAGAATGTGCAAGCCACAGGTGCACTGTGCATAGGATCCCGTTTCGGGGGAGGTGGGGGCACTGCCGGGGCCTGCCCGGTACGGCTGGCTCCTCTTGCCGGGAGAGCCCCGGTATGAAACGCCGCACCTCACGCAGACCTTCTCCGTGTCGTGGTTCACTGCAAAGCCACCTGTGTCTCTGGTGTCTGCTTCCTTTGGGCAGCTGGGGGCCTGCTGGCAGCACTTCTGAAGATATCTGTCTATAGCAGCATGCGTGCCGTCCATTTTGGAGGAAGAGTCGGGGCCTTGAGCCGCTGATACGTCCTCTGTGCTCCCGACCCCTGAAAAGCACTGATTTAAGCTGTCATTCTCCCCTATCTCCACTGGCTCTGAAAACGTTGACACAGTTTTACTGTCAGGCTGACTCAGTAAAGATAAATAATCAGCTGCATTGAGATCTTTATCTGTGTATTCATCTTCCATGGGGACCGGTGGGAAATGGTCATCATCAGTCTCGGAGAGCACAGAAAACCCTTGGAGGTTCCCTGCTGCCTCGTACGGAGCTGTCTTGGGGCTGCTGTTCATGCACAGAAGGTGACTGCTGGTGCAGCACGTGTTTCCACGGGGAGAATAAGCATCAGGAGCCAGGAGGCACATTCCTTCAGGAATCTGGGGAGCAGCAGTGTTGGTTCCACCTGTGTCTACGAACACACCTCTGGGGGGCTCCTAAATGAAGTCCAAAAGAAAAACGTATTTAATAAATAAATTAGCAGAAGGTTATTTTCTAAGCAAAGACAAAACAGGCAGATGGTAACTATTCCTTGACGTGGAGCTGCTGAGTTTGAGTAGCACTGGCTGTCTTTGAGTCCTGCAGTATAATTCTATCCTATTGCAAAACTGTGACCAGTGGTGCTGTGCTCAGTGGGTATTTCGATAAAAATCTGTTGGTCTGGGAGACCACAACATTTAATTTTGAGAGGAGGCTATTGTTAGTTCTTAAAAACGCCCTTAAGAGTCAATAAACCTGTTAGTCACTGCTTTTTGCTGCTCCTTATGAACCATCGGTAAGATACTACTGAGCTCTGATTTGTTAGAGGCCTGTAAACACCCTGAATTAGCTGGGTCTGAAGGGCTGTAGACCTGTGAAGGACTTACTGAGAGCAGAAACCTTATTACTGGTAATGCTATATGCAGAAGAAAAACCAGATTGTTTTAGATGGCAAGCTAGGAAAAAAACAAAAAAAAACAACAACAACAAAGCTCTCACAGACAAGGTTGCTTTAAACCAGAGTAATTTAGGACAACAAATACAGGAGCCCATTTGTCAGTAGTGTTCAAAGTAAAGATGCATTTTTGGTTGTGGCTCCACAAAAGTGCTGGAAAATACTGGAGGCAGCAGTTCAGGAGTTCACTTCGGTACCTGCAGGTCAGTCCGTAGTGACGGGAATTGCTGCCTACATTCCATTTTTAGCACCCGTTCAGTTCTTCCAGGATGGAGAGGAGTATGCAAATGCTGCCAGCCGCTCACTGCTGCTGGTCCTCACTCCTCCGTCCTGGCAGTCTGAGCTGCTGCTAGTGCAAGAGGTTGCACAAACACTTAGGAGACAAAAGAGGAACTTCCCTCTTAAGAAGTTTTCTTTGTAGTTGTGGGATTTGAGGGTTGCAGCCACTAAACTAGACAGAGATCCTGGCCTGGCCTGATGGTGACAGCATCTGGGAGCTAGGACACCAAAGCCCATGTTCCTTCTGGGAATCAAGCAGTGCACAAGAGCCTGAGTCCTCATCCAAGTGTTTCAGCTGTGGGATCTGCGACTGCTCTGGAGCAAAACCTTTTCGAAGGTCTTATTTACTTTCTCCCGTATCTGAATGGACAAAAAGGATTTTGGCAGGCACTGGAATTAATGGGTCTCAGGGATGTTCTCTTTAACTGATGACTCTTGTGCTTTTGCCTGCGTGTCTGATGTTTTTGGCTTTGCCCCAATTCAGATTTCTCTGGTACGTAAAGAGGTGCAAACTCCAGCGGAAGTTTTTCCAGGTCTTTGGATTTACAACAGCTCTCTCCTAGGTAGAGTCTCAGATGTTCAGTAACTGTAGGGCTCCTGTTGAACTTTCTCCTCTTACAAATATTTAAGCATCACAGAGACTGTTAAAACTGGCTGAAACCAGAGAGGTGGTTCAGAAGCTAGGGAAGCTGCTGGACATTTCATAAGTCTCATATTCACACAGAACCAGACTAAAAAAGCCAAAGTTGTGAGTTTTTTTTTTTTTTTTTGGAGAAACAGAAAACTTGTTTTCCAGCCAAAAGTTACAGTGGAGGCTACTGCCAAGGGAGTGCCAGGAATATAGTAAAGAAAGAAATATAAAACAGAAATTCTTAATGCTCTGGACTTTACCGTTGTTCCCTTTATTTGGCTGCACACTTCGTTGGCCCAGTTCTGTAGATCTGCTATAGGGAGAACAAAACAATAGCTGTTTTATGTACATATACTGTATAGCAGGCACTAAAGGCAACCACAGACCTAAACACATACATAGTTATTCACAATCCATAATACTATATTAAACATAAACCATCGAGGCTGTGTTTACGCACTGTTCAGATGTCCTGGCGGCTGTCTAGCCGAGGACTCGCTCTAACTGGAATAAGGATATATTCCTGTGGAACAAATGTTTCCAAGCTCCCAAAATAGATCACAGTCAAACTGTGTTCCACATCAAATGGGGTTTCTTTCCTGGTCATATGTCACCAAGCTATGACTGGCCTGATCCTGACCCAATGAGAGCCAGGGAGTCTATTTCAAGAAGAGTCACATGAAGAGCACAACGACCATCCCGGGAGCAGCGAGGTGCGCGCCGGGAGGAGCGCAAGGCCCGAGGCCACGGCATGGCGGCCTCCGGCACCGTGCGTGCTGCCGCTGCGGGAAGCGCTCAGCTGGGAGAGTCACTCAATCAGATATCTCCTGAGGGAAAGCCTGGGGAGCAGCAGTGCTTTCCAGCGAAGACTGCTGCTTATCAGGAAGTCCCCTCTTGCTTTATATACCCAGTTTCTGGAGATGCTGAAGGGCTCGAGGCCTGTGTGCATTTTAACCCTGTGCTGCTTTTGTATGTCTGCAGACAGAGCCACTCAGAGCCACTGCCAGTCCCCAGCAAGGAGTCTGTCCCTCTGATGCAAACTCTGCACATTTACCAGCAGCTGCCAGGACTTCTTCCTGAGCCTGCAGATCCCTGGGGCTCTGCTCAGCAGCATTCACCCCTCCAAGGCGATGAGAGACTGTCACCGCAGAGCAGCAGGGCAAGGGCAGTGTCAAAGAAAGAGCATTCCCCCGAAACCTGCTCTGCATCTCAAGTATTTGGTTTGCAAGGAGAGTCACCATTTCCTCCAGCCCATCCCAGGAATTCCAGATTTAGCACAACGCATGTTTAGTGTGGCAGAGGCGGCCTACTTCTAAAACGCAGGCTAAAGCTTACTTTACAAGACAGGGTTGCTGTCCTCGCAAAACATTTCATAAATTCCTAGGGCTTGCAAAAGGACACGGGGCAAAAATTACGTTAGGAAAAGCTTTCCATGTTTAGAGGAAGAAAATTTAAAATTAAGAGAGCAGTAAGAGTATGCCCTTGACTCTGAAGCCCCAGGGTTTAAAATGCTGAGTAACTTTTTGAGTGTTTTCCTCATTTTCATAATATATTAAATATATCAACATATATAATCCCAGTAATATCTAGTGTGTTCTTCCTAGTATTTTTTTTCCTAGTATTTTTCAATTTTTCCATTTTTACTATTTCTTCTATTTCTTCTGGAATTTCTGCAGTACCTAATCAGAGCTTTGGCCTTCAGCTGACAACACTGCCTCCATCCCATTTGCAAATGCACATCAGGCTGCCATCTTGAGGCCTATATTTTAACCCAGCTCGAGGCAGGTTTCAGGGGAGGAGGGAAGCAGGGAAAAGGGTCTAGGAGGTGGTGAAAGACCTGCAAGTCTTTGTTGTGCCTCCAACACTGGCCCTCCTTCATCTACGGTCACCTTGTTGTGGTGACCGTAGATGACCTTGTGACGCCATGCATTATGCGTAAGTGCAATATGCTCCCTGCCCTTGAGGAAGGGAATGGGAAGCCTGGCTTGGCACTCATGAAAACACATCTGTGCAGACAGACGTATGGATAGCACAGACCTTCTAAAAGGGCACCTGAGTTTCTCAACCTGTTGATTACCCGTGAAATCAGAACCATGTAGCTCTCACATTCAAAAATATCATTAGCTATAATGTACCTGTCAGCTTTTTCCCCTTGTTCTTGTAGTATATGATGAAGATGACGATGACAATTAGTGCCACAAAAAACAAGATGACAATCAAAACATACAGGATCCTGTTTGTTCCTGTAGGGTGTGAAAAAAAACAGACTACTGTCAGCAAGCAGCCTATACTCAGTAGTGCTACAATCCTTGTTCATTTTAGCTGCTTTTCCATATTTATTCCACAAGGCTTTTTTCCTTCCTATTTGATTTTAGATTTCTATAATAAGGACAACAGATTGAGCACTGGTAAAGTTCTGTGACGAGTGGCCTTACTAGAAGCATCTTGTTGCAGAGATACCACCGTAAAAAACAGTCTTAGTGTCTTAGAGAGGTGTGAGCCAGGCAGGCTGCTCTGCAGGTCCCCTGCAAGCTGCCAGCCCACGGACTGTGCTTGCTCTGCCTCGGCAGGAGGCTGATATGCAGCCCAAGGGGACCACAAACTTCAGGCAGCAGAACGTGGCTCTCGTCTCAGATTGTGAAGAATGGTCGTGTGCTCGGCAGGCAGCCTCCACGGCAGCACTTCCATGCAGGAGAGAGAGAAGGGCAGCAGGCAAAAAGAGATCTGCATTTGGCTGAGGCTGTCTCTACTGCTACAGAAGACACGTAGAAAGAAGCTGGTAGCCTTTGTGCATGGAAATTAGCAGGCTGAAAAGTGAGAGAGATGTAAATGTGGTGGAGATCATGAGTATACTACAGTAATGCTGCTCCCCATGCAGCATCAGGGACTCTAGAGCAGCTGGGCTTAAAGTCATCTTTACAGGCTGAATTTTCTGAGGAGCTCTGCCTTGGTCTACTGCTGCTCCCCTGAGAATCAGCCACGTGGCGAATGGAGCAGACAAAGACCAGGGTAAACACATAGGTACTTCTTAGTGAATAACCTCTAGGAGGACATATACCATCTTCTGGTTGTTCAGGCATCTTCCACTCTGCACAGACTGCATCTGACTTGTCAGTCCCAGGGACTCTTTCTGCCACTCCCAGAGCTGTACAGCTAGAAAAGAAAGGCAGAGAAGCTACATACTCAAACAAGGGGGTCTGTCATGGCTCCTACACATAGGCAGGCTAATACTTTCCACTGTAAATTACTCCCATGCTTCTCCATCTTTAAAAAGTTCAGATACCATCATTATTTTCAGCTTGATGGCTCAGCAGGTCTGTTGTTATTGCTCATTCTTGCTTTGCCACCCCACAACAGGATTCAAGCTCCAAACTGAAAATGCCTTTATTACTGTGCCACAAACTGAGATGCTCTGTGTACTCTGCAGACACACTGAAACACCCCATTGAAAATGCTTTTGATCAAGCCTCTCAGTGCCTTGTGGCTGTCACGATCCTTATACAGGCTACAGGGACTTACTTGGTCCAGGATTTGCACCCCTCGGTGGATGAAGCAACCTTCGAGAAGTAGCCTGTGGGACATGGCGTACACATTGTATCCTTGTCTTGTTGCACTGCATGTAGTAAAGGAAGAAAAAGAAGAACGTAGCTGAACTTTTGTGAGTTGATTGCAAAACGGAGATGACTGGGCTCCCCGTCCTCCCACACCCTCTCCCCTTCCCAAAGCTTCCCTGGTGACAGAAGAATTTAAAATTATAGTAGGGTAGCAATGACAGCTACGGGTAATCAGGAAAACAGGTAAGACCAGCATATTTCTCTACTTGATCAAAATGGTAAATGACCAGAAGCCATTTTCAGTTATTGGAAAATAATATACAGCTGTAATGTCCTTCCACTTTCATTGTGGAATGCGTTGTGTTGATGCTGTTCCACCAACGGTCACATTAACTGGTAGTGTCAATTGCAATTGTTTGCTGTCTGAAGCAAAAAGAGTGCTACGCCAGGATTTGCCAGCTTGGTGAAAAGCAAACTGTGCTTCAGGCCCATCTCATTTCCCATCTCTCCATTAAGTGCTGTTTTTTGGTATTCCTTGTACTTGGAACAGCTCACTTTATCTTCCTGCTGTTCATTACAACTCTGAATTTAACCATCTCTATTTTCCACCCACAAAACACTTCCACTTTGCTTGCAATTAAACCCAGAACTAAGTTAAATGTCTGTAATAAATCCTTGCGTTACGAGTCATATAAAATAAAGAATACCTGCACTATGTGAAAGGTGTTCATCATTTTTAACTCACTTATAGTGTTATAAAATGTGGCAAAGAATAGTCAGTCAGCAGAAGCTGATTTCAGAGATCCCAGCAACGATGCCCAGTGGACCACTTAGTTCTGAGTACTGCAGAACCAAGCGATTGCTGAGTCAAGTACCTCAGCAGACATGAGCAATACACTGCAGTCCTTCTGGCTACGGCCATATGAAGCCTTGCAAACGTCCCCTCATTCCAGACACTATGTAAATGACAGAGGCTCAAGCCCCTTACTGTCAAAGTGGCCCTCAAAATGCAAATAGTGCAGAAGGGTTACATACAGTAGCAATGATAATCACACAGACATGCTTCGTCCATTCACAGTGGACAGAAAGTCTAAGATATCCTCTCTTCAGTATCAGAACTCAAATCACAGAATCATTATGGTTGGAAAAGACCTTCAAGATTATTGAGTCCAATCAGAAGCCCCTCAACACCCTGCCTGCTAACCCATGTCCCCAGATGCCTCATCCACACATTTCTTGAACACTGCCAGGGTGGTGACTGCACCACGTCCTAGGCAGCCTGTTCCAACGCTTCACCACTCTTCCCATAGAGGAATTTTTCCTGATATATAACCTGACCAGCAGTCCCCTGCTGACTTCACCCTCCAGGCTTGACCTGGACATTTCACTTCTCCCGGGCACCTCTCTGTATCTTACCAGGCTGCTTGACTCCAAATCCGGGGGCACACAGGGTGTTTCGCTGGCAGCAGTCACAGTCGTCGTTCCAGTGGTACCCCGCCATACAGGCACATTGCCGCTGGGACGTGCTGCTCCCTGGATTCACTTCCTTCAGAGCTTTCCCTAGAAGAGAAAGCACCTGAGAGTAAAAACCTCTCTGATTCTAAGCCTAAAATTTATAAACCTCCTGCTCCAGCTATTTGTTTCACTTGAATGTCAGATGCAGAACCATTCTTGCTAGAGGGAATGTTGTCTCTCAAGAAGCACTGGAGACCCTTGATTAGCACAGGACACCTCCCTGATTGAACTCCTGAGCAATACTTTTCCTTGCAGCTCCTGTAGAAAATGAAAAGAGCTTTTGCAAGTTTGAAGCTACCGTGTTAGGGGATGTGAGCACACAATACGCTGGGCAAAAAAAACAACCTTTAAAACACAACTCACTGGGATCAGTGGCCAAAGTGAAGGTAATCACTTGAGCAGCAAGGAGACTGTAGTGGCAGTGTTCAACAGAGCACAGAAGAACTGAAACTCCCTGGTGTCCGGGGACCTCAATGTCTTTTAGGTTCTTTTGCAAGGCCAACCTCCATTACCATGTTCCTGAACAAAGCATCATGTCCAGATCCATGTGCCCGCACTGACACTTCACTAGTTCAGATCAAAAGGCTCCTCAGTATAAACAGCTCACCTTGATCACATATTTTATGTAGTAAGCATTTGTCTTCTTCATTCCAGACATCCATGTACTCATTTGGGCCACACGGCTGGCACACACTATCAGAAGTACCAGTGCATTTTGCAAACATGTATTTTCCTGTGAAGATGAGAAGGAAAAGTAGGTCATTCGCAAGTTGCACATCAGCTGTTAAAGGAGCTTAGACAAAATATAGGCCAACCTAACACTGCTGTAGTACTGGGGGATGATCATTTCTGTGCCACCCTTTCAGTTCCCCGGTCCGGCCCTAACCTGCTGAAACATCCCTGAAACTTAGGGCATGGGAACCAGCTTGTTTATGTGCATGAAAATTAAGCTACTTTCTGCCTACCATTAAATGCTATCCCAGCGAAATAGCTGTCACGGCTTTTGCTGAGATGACTAGGACTACTCCTGCACGAACAGCTATTCCAACACCTGAAATCAGCAACCTCTGTTCGGGCATGTGCAGAGAAGCCTTGCGGAGGCCCCAGGCAGGCTGCTGCGCCACCCCATGTGCTGCCTCTGAGGAGCGTCTCAGTTTCATAGAATCATAGAATCCTTAAGGTTGGAAGGGACCTCTAGAGGTCATCTAGTCCAAGCCCCCCGCACACGCAGGGTCACCCAGAGCACGTGGCACAGGACTGCATCCAAGCAGGTTTTGAAGATCCCCAGAGAGGGAGATTCCGCAACCTCTCTTGGCAACCTGTTCCAGTGCTCTGTAACCCTCGGTGTTAAGAAATTTTTCCTTAAGTTCCCGTGGAACTTTCAGTGTTTCAGTTTGTGGCCGTTACCTCCAGTTCTGTCAGTGGCCACCACTGCGAGCGCCACGCGCGGCCCCTACCTGGCTCACACTTGGTGCAGCACCGCCCCGAGTGCTCATAGTGCTGCTCGCTCTCACACGGCGGCGTGACCTGCAGCGACAGCTGGGGAGGAGAGGGAGAGAAAGGACATGAGAACCAAGACACCTCAAGCTTCAGCACTACCCACCCACAGCTGCCGTGGGGAGGAGGGAAACTTTTCTTCCTTACAGCATTTTGGACAGCTGAGCAATAAAACATTGTATAGGACTTCAAAAGCTCCTTGTAGGCCAATTAATAATACGTACTTGATGCTGTGCACACAGGGACTTGTAATATAGCCAGGTGATAAATAAATAACCCAGTCTTGTAATTTATCACAACCTTTTGGCCTGCAGTATAACCCCTGCTTACAATACTGTATTATTTGAAACATCTGACTTCAAAACAATCATAAAAAAAGAAAGTAGAACATTCAGCAAACTAGTAAAGGTGAACAAGTGAACGATTTATATCCTCAAAAAAAGAAGTTTCCAGCTTCCCCCTGGGATACACAACACTCTTCTGAAGCCCCAGAAAATATTGCCCTTCAATTTTATGGCTCTTTATGGCTCCTATTTTGCCCTGCAGCATTAATCTCATTGAACTGAGACAGCCAGCCACTGAGATGATACAAATTAAGCCAACACCTTTTGATTTCTTAAAAAATAGATCAAAACAAAAGCAAACCCTTCCCTCAACAAAGCAGCCAAAACTGTTGCACAAGAGGACATCTGCCAAGGGTGTTACAGTGTTTTATCTAGCCCTTACCAGCCCTTGCAAGCCCTCCCTCACCTTTCCTGGGGCCAAACGTCGCCCCTGGCCCCCCGCTGCCCCTGCTCTGGCTGCCCCGGCGTCTCTGGGCAGCCGAACCCCAGGCAAACCCAACACTCCACAGCCAGGTGTTGGTCCTTCCTCCTGGGACACGGAGGGTAATTCAAAATCGGGCTCTTAGCAAGGAACACTTCACTATGATGGGATAAAGCTGAAATATCACTTACAGGATACTTCTGATTTGGAAAAAAAAAGATGCCTTAAAACTTCTGCTGATGGTTAGAAGGACCTTTCATTATGTAACAGTGCTGTGCAAGCAAGGGAAAAATTAACAGTGGTTTCTAATCCCCTTTACCTCTCCTCTTTTCCTCTCTTTCCTGTTTCACCAAAAGCAATCTCATTATATTCTCTTCCCCTAAGCACTTTGTCCTTGCTGGAAAGGGTCTTATAACTTAACAAGGACCAAAGAGGTTGGAATATTTCTTTAAACTACCTCCTTTTGGCTTGGAGTTTGAGTCCATACACAGTGCAGCAGTGTCAAAACTGCACTAGATGCGTCTGAAGTGAAGTAAGTTACTAAGATCAGAGGTCTTATTATCAGAGGTCTTTTTTTTTTTTTTGGTTATGTTTGCAGGTTATAAGCACCTTATAACCATTTTTTATCATGACAACAACCCCGGGGCAAATCTAGAGTCCAGCCTTGTGAGAATACTTCTTCTATCTCAGTATTTCCTTGTCTCTTTCACCGCATTAATTAGCAGTATCTTTCTTGTGATTACATTATGAGGGACTTGGAACAAAAATTGCTGATTGTGTTTGCACAGCACCTCACACAGAAGGCACCTGGAATCGGAGCAGGATTCCTGCCAAGTGCGAGAGAGCAGGTAGGTGCTTCTGAAAGGCTTATTCCTCACACAAGCCTCGTTCTTCGCCCGGCGCGTGCGGGACTTGTGCAGTGCTAGGGAGACAAGTCACGAGCCAGTTCACTTGCTTTTATAACAGAACGTTCTCGTCTTCCTCGTTTGCCCCAGTTTGAAAGTTCCTCTTTAGAAAAAAGAAAAAAAAAAGACTTAAAAGAATTACTGAAGTGTCAAACCAGGGCAGTCATCCTTTTTTAAGGAAGGACGTGCAAATCTTCTGGAGAGCATTCAACTAAAGAATCAGGAATCATTTCTGAGAATTCAAATTCTGCCTGAACAGGACAAGCAATGCCCTTGCGCCGGGGCTGGGGAAGCTGGCTGACCCCTCGCGTGCCTTTTGTACATCACCTCGTAGCTCTCTGCTCTGCTGCACGAAGAGAGTTTTTGTTTCAGCGCATTCCCAGCTGCCGCTGCGCAAACCTACACTCTGCGTCAACAAGGATGCTCTTCTGCCACCACGTCCTTCTCCTCTGGGGATGAGCCGATGCGTTCACAGAGGTGTGTGCTGTTGCCTTCTTTCATTTATACTCAATGAAATAAAGGGGCCAGTTGCTCCTCCCAAAGTCTTTCATTTATACTCAATGAAATAAAGACAAGGGGCCAGTTGCTCCTCCCAAAAGTGAGAAATTTTGGCTTAGGATGGGCTAGTCAGATCCGCCGCCAGGGAGACAAGACGCAAAGGAAAATCAAAGAAACTGCGTGTTTTCTCACAGGGGAGCAGACCCAGTGTGCCTGCAGCCTCTTAACACAGCACCATGAAAGTCAAGGGGATCCGTCTTTAACCTTCTGCCAGAGGACACTATCTCCGTCTATAAATAAGCTTTTTTTTTTTTTTTTCAAGAGGGCAGGAGTCCTGCACACAACTCGCAGCAGCCCCATGGCTCAATGCTTCACCAGCACTAATGTATTCCTCTCCACGGAGCCCTTCTGAGATAGGGAAGTGCGAGTCATTTTACAGATGAGGAACTCATGCTCAAGAGACTGACTAACTTTACTAAGGTAACAGGAAATCAGTGGCAAAGCAGGAAACAAAACCATGTCTCCAAAGCCTCAAGTTAGCATTTTAACCTCTGGAACATCCTTCCTCTCATCGAAGGCTGGCGCGTAGGTCAGCGCAGCTCTGACCTCACGGAGCTGCGGTCTGGCGAGAGCAAGGGTCACATGTCACACTTGGTGTGCCCAGGGAAAGCAAAGGTGTCGGTCCCATCCAAAGTAAAAAAATGCGGGAAATAAATAAATAAATAAATCCACAGCCTTCTTGTTGCTTTAACGGTCTCTATAATGGTTAAGCTTGTCACCAAATCCCACAGCCACGTGCAGATGGGGGCTTTAGAAAGGTCCAGGTACTCCATATAATTTTAAGTTGTCACTTAAGCACACAAAGTGGAACCACCAGGGACCAAACATGAATGTGCTCCTTGTGCATGGCATGCTTTTGTAAAGCACAGCAGCACCTACTGACCTGTAAGCTCATGAATAGTCCCATCCACTTCTTTGGAAAGCAGGCACGCTCACGGAGAGGTTCGCAGATGACTGCAGATACCCTTCTAAGCTTCTTTTTTTATTTATTTTTGTGCATGTTTGTGTGTGTAATTCCATGAAAGGGACGCCAAGCAAGAGCGTGCTTGTAGGCTCGCCGAACCTCAATGAGTCACAGCTGCAAAGCCCAACCATGTTGCTCTGATGGTTGAAAAACACACACAGGTGTTTCTGAAGGGGGAACTAGCAGAACTTCAGATTCCTGTCCTCAGGCTTAAGGAAATATTTATTCTTGGCGCCATTGAGCAATCTGATGACAGGAGAAGCTGTGTGTCATGGATGCTAAAATTACTTTCTCGCTCAAATGAATATTCAGACAGACATTTCAGAGAAGATAAAGTTGCACAGGCCCCTCTCCTTTAAAAGAAAAAAAATCTGGAAGAACAAGCTCGGGGGTTTCCACATTTGTTTTCCCATGTCATTTCTGAACAAGAACCTGGGCCTCCAGCAGGACTGCTCATTAGCGATAACCCTAGTTTTGCAAAAATTGAGATGCAGTGGGACACACCAAGGGGTAACCATTTTAAGATGACACCTGGCTCCGTATACTTATTTCTGGAGAATGCTCAGGTCATCTTCCAGCATTCTACATTTTTCCTCCATCACCACTGGAGACCTAAAGTACCTATAGGAGCAAGAACTCTTATCCTGCCTTGCACACCGCTTGCTCTTCGAGAGCCTTCCCCTTGCCTGCTGTAGAACTACAACCTTTCTACCATTTGGGGGGCTTTATTGCCTTCATGGGGAGGAGGAGCTTTGACCAACGATTTCTGATCACATCTGCAGCAGCCCCTTCAACCACAGGACCCGGCATCCAGCTAGAACTGCCTCTGCAGTCATTTGCTCCTTTTCTCTCATTCAGATGTCAGCTACTCCCCCCCCGCCACGCATCCGGCTTGTGTCCCTACTGCCCTTCAGCTACCAACCTACCCAGCTACCTGCCTGCCTAATTTGGCTCAGCAGTATGGCTGCGCAAAACCAGTTATTCTCCCTCTGTTGCCACTCTCAGAGACTTGCGCAAAAATATTCAAGAACAAACGGAGAACCTGGACGTAGCCGGGCACTGCTCCACGGCTGGCACGCCTAGGCACTGCGTTAAGGCATGCCGCAGTAACACGCATCACGGGTGATCTTTACAACTGAGTTTACAATGGGAAAGAGGAGTTTTATGTGAAAAATAGCATAATCACATGGATATTAAATGCAACAGTCCCTTCACAGAGACCCTGCTCTTTTGCTGGTAAAAATTAAATCAAAGCAGCACACAAGCCACAGCCGTGCAATTCCAGTTATTCAGTTGCCAGTCTGTAACTCACCATGAAAATCTTAGATTGTGAATGAAATGCTTCATGGTGATGTCAACTTTCCAGTGACCAGTAAACCACATCACAGAACCACCATCACGTGGTAAAATATAGCCGGGAAATGGCAAAGGCTAAAAACTAAATATTATTTCACTGTTAAAAATAGGTTTTAGAAACTTTACAGTAGCCTGAATGAGAACATAAAGGATAAAACAATTAATAAAGGAAAGAAGAAAAATCCGTAACTTGTGCCCAGGAAGTGGACAAACGGTGGTTGAAGCCCCAATCCCGACCGTTGCGATTATGCCTCGGTCTTCGCGGGCAGCCAAAAGCAAACACACGTGGGAGAGGTGGCCTGAGCAGCCGGTGCTCCCCTGCCGACGGGAAGGAGCATCAGGCGGTCTCGAAGCCACCGGGGCTATTTCTAGCAGCAGGCTACGTGAAGGAGAAGTGCCGTGCGGAGCGCTCGCAGCCTGGGCCCGCGGAGGTGAGGCCGACGGAAAGCACAGGCCCAGCAGGTGGGAGACGACAGAGGTCACCGAGTCCACTG